TATATATATTACCAGCAAAGACTTTAAATTATTGTTGAATATTAAATAATTGTATATTTTTTAACAGATCAGATGATTTCATGATCATGAATAAGTTTCTTCATGAACTCTCTGAGCACCATAAACAGATATCTCAGTAAAAGTTTCCCCCAAAATTAAATTGCACTTGTATATGCTTATTTCTAAAAAGAACAAAGATAGAAAAAAGTGAATAGATTAAAGTTATTAGATGATGCACCTGTTGTAGGGTAATTCCAGTACAATGCATCAGACGAATCTGTACAAAAACACAACAAACATTATATTGAATATATTTTATATAGACACAAAATCTTAGACAAAGAAATGTAATCCACTTACTGAAAGCTGACCAAAGGGCCAATAAAAGGATATAAAGCTGGTTCATGCTGTGATAGATTAGAGACTACAGCTTTCTGAGATACAACAAAGACAGCGACTGAGTCTTAACACCCAATAGCTTCTTCTTAACCAAAAAAGTACTGATGTTGATGTGTAAAGCAGAAGTAGCTCTCATGACAAAAGTTCCTAGACATTGATGCTTGGTTTCCAAAATAAGGCTGGTTTTAGGAGATATTAAGCCTACTGTACCAAATTAAGGCAAACAGTGTCATATTTTATGATGCAATATATGTATGCGAAATATCTGGATATAGTAGTATAGGATATCTTTATTTTACAGGTTATGAATGTTTACACACACCCTTTGTCTAAATATGCAGCTCAGATCATCAGCAATTAAACCACATAACCACAGATGACAGCTTTAGACACTGTGACATTAGTATAATTCTCACACACACACACACACACACACACACACACACACACACACATCCAAAACTTGGGGGTCAGTAAGATTTTTTTAATGTTTGAAAGAAGATTCTCACATTCTTATTCTCACCAAGATTGTATTTTCTTACAAAATGATTACAGTTTAAACTGTTTTCTGTTTTAATATATTTTCAGCAGCCATTACTCCAGTCTTCAGTGTCACATGATCCTTTAGTAATCATTTAATATAATTTGGTGCTCAAGAAACATTTCTTATTATTATCAATGTTGAAAACAGTTGTGCCGCTTTATATTGTCGTAGAAACTGTGATACATTTTTCAGGATTCTTTGATGAATACAAATATATATATATATATATATATATATATATATATACACACACAGTGCTTGAAGTGGAAAAAAAGAAGTGCCGGTACTCACACCCCTCATTTATTTATTTATATTAAATAAATAAGTACTTTTTAATAATTCACAATGTATGTATAGTGCCACAATCAATCAATCAATAATTAAATAAAAGTTTTCAATACAAATTAGCATGTCAAGCTGCGATATCAAACAGGACCACAGGGAGACGCCAAAGACCACTAAACCTACTATATGGATCCATTCAGAATCGCTAAACCTCTGACCACCTTCAGCCAGCGTCTATTATAAACACTCTTGCTTTTAAGCCAAATACACGCTGAAAAGAATAATTTATTGACATCTGCATGCAAGTCACTATTCTCTCGGCAATCTCTGATGAAATTAGCTATGTTTTCTCTGCATTAGCACTGTTTTGAACTTACTGTCTGAAATAATTTACTGGATCCTTGGACTTCCCAGGAGTTTACCAGTTTAAAATGATGTGATCGCAAAAGCCAGCTTCTTTTAATTTTTAAGGTATTATTTTCATTATAATGTACTGATTCAAATTAGTAATCAATAATTAATTATTATTCTACTACTCTGCGCACCTCCCCTGACATGCTCTGGCACCCTACACATAAGGTAGACCGATTCCGCTTGAATTCGTTCATGTGATTGGTCGAGACGAGAGGTGACCCCGCCTGGGTAGTGTGATTTATATAGTTTCATTTCTAATTACCCAGACACTGATGCTTTTACTCAAGAGTACTGGCAACATGTCAGAAGTGGCGGTACAAAAAAGTGAAGGTATGCTAAAGACTAAAATACAGAGGTGCCGGCCCACTTCAAGCACTGTATATATATTTATACACACGCAAATATATATATATATATATATACACACACACAAATACTCCTTTTGTTAAAGTCTCTTTTTATTTATTTCTCAACTGATGAGATATTTTATTTTGAGGCCTTCACACCTTGGTCTAAAAAATATAAATCAATGTGTTTCTCAATCATAGTAATATTAGGATTTTATAATAAATTAAATAATTAAATGATTACATTAATGGATCATTAAAAGCTTCTCAGAATTTAAACGTGATTATAAAATTGAAATTCAGCAAACCATTTTTATCACATGGGAACGAGGAAGTGTTTAACTTTCATTCAGTAACAAAAATAAGTTGTTCTACTCTTATGAATATAAAACCATATAAATCAATGTGTTTCACAGTCATAAAATATTACATATTAGGATTTTATTACAAATTAAATAATTAAATGATTACAATAATGGATCATTAAAAGCTTCTCAGAATTTAAGCGTGATTATAAAATTGAAATTCAGCAAACCATTTTTATCACATGGGAACGAGGAAGTGTTTAACTTTCATTCAGTAACAAAAATAAGTTGTTCTACTCTTATGAATATAAAACCATATAAATCAATGTGTTTCACAGTCATAAAATATTACATATTAGGATTTTATTACAAATTAAATAATTAAATGATTACAATAATGGATCATTAAAAGCTTCTCAGAATTTAAGCGTGATTATAAAATTGAAATTCAGCAAACCATTTTTATCACATGGGAACGAGGAAGTGTTTAACTTTCATTCAGTAACAAAAATAAGTTGTTCTACTCTTATGAATATAAAACCATATAAATCAATGTGTTTCACAGTCATAAAATATTACATATTAGGATTTTATTACAAATTAAATAATTAAATGATTACAATAATGGATCATTAAAAGCTTCTCAGAATTTAAGCGTGATTATAAAATTGAAATTCAGCAAACCATTTTTATCACATGGGAACGAGGAAGTGTTTAACTTTCATTCAGTAACAAAAATAAGTTGTTCTACTGTCTGTAAAACCTGTTTGTGTGTGTGCAGATGGAGAAAAAATTAATAATAAAATTAGCTCAAAATCACATATTGCTATTGGCATGTAGTCTCCTTCCATACTGTAGCAGATGTTACCCAACAGGCGAAAGAGCCACATTAAACATTTTGGGTCATTTGTACATTTTAATGATTAATTCAACAGCTACAATTCCAAATCATGAAAGATAATTATAATAAAAACATTGATATTTGCATTTATTCATTTAGCAGATATTTTTATTCAAGAAAACTATAGAATGAGGAGAGGAACAACAAAACAGCTGTGATGTTTGTCAAACTTAAATACATAAAATATTGGGTTGTATTTATACATTTTTAAATGATGTAACACATATTATTGCAACAGAAGTGTACTTTTGTCAACTACAAGTAAAATGATTATTATTTATATTCATGGTTGTTTCTTTCTCTTCTCCTGCATTTCAACTACAAAAGAGATATTTGTTTTTTATTTATTTATTTTTTCACTGTTGTTTTGCCTTCTCTTCTTGTTCTTATGTTCTTTCTTCAGAAAGCCGCAAGGTTCTTTATGCATTCTCATATTGTTTGCTGGTGAATGTCATGGTAGGCCCTGTCTGTGTGACCTGAAACATACAGGGTTAGTCTGTTAATGTGCGAATTGTCAGGTTTCAGACCAGCTATAAGAGTTTTTTTTTCTCCCAACAGCGTTGCACAAAAAAAGAGAATTGGTTATTTGCTAGGCTTTCTGTGGCAGACCTTTGGCTTTGCTTCTGATGTTGGTCACGATCACTGCTGCAGTCATGATGAAGAGACCAACAACAATGAAGGAGGAAAAGCAGCTGTAGAATAAAGATACTCCATCCTCATAATGATGAAAGACTGGCATTTCCCACATGAATTACTACCTTTTGTATATATCTTTTGCAGAACATAAAGACGAAAACGAGTGAACGGTTTAATCATTTGATCTGCAGCTTTCTGAGATACATGCGGTCAGAGAGTCTGACATAGAGACTTCCTCTGTGTTAACATGAAAAATACAGAGTAGATGTGACAAAGCAGAAGTGGTTCTCATGACAAATCTTAACTCCACACTTAAACATTTCTGCTGGATTTGCAAAATGAGGCTGATTTTAAGAGCTAATAAGCCTATTGTTCACCAGCTAAGGCTGATATAATGCCTGTTTCCAATATGTGGATGAATAACTTACAATAGATGCACCTAAGAAAGCTCCTTCATTTACGTAGTTTAAAGATGTCGTGTTGTTTTCCTTTCTTTCTAAAAGGGTTGTGACTATCAGGACAGATCATCTGGTCTGACCACACAACCACAAGCTTACAGCTGGCTTATTTGTCTGTGCATCACATAAAGTTAAAACTTGCACTTCGTTAAAGCGTACCATAGCATTTTTATAATTTGTGTTGTTTTGAATGAAGGATATTATATGGAAGCTTGTTTCCACCACAGAATTATAAAAAGGTAATTATGACTTTTTCCCTCAGAATTGTGAGCTATAAATGCGCAATTCTGAAAAAAACAAAAAAAAACGAGTCAGATTGTGAGATTTAAACACAGTGTGATATTAAACTCAGTTGAGAAACGTAAACTCAGCATTGCAAGAAAAATATCGGATTTGTGAAATTAAAAAAGTAGCAATTACTTTTTTTATTGATTTGTTCTGTGGTGGAAGGGGGCATTCACAGGATAGATTATTAAAAAAAGACAAAGGTTATTGAAGTATGTTTTACAAGAAAATAGGCAAATTTTCACTTTTTATACATCAAAATTTCTTGTTTAATTCAGTGTGTTAAAGGGGTCATATAATGCTACATGCACTTTTACAAGTAGTTTGAAGAAGAAAGGGGCGGGGTCAGCAGAGCTCATTAACATTTAAAGGAAAATGCTTTAAAACTGCGTGCTCTGAAAAGAGCTGTTTTTGACAGGGTAAAAACTGTGTTTTTTACACTACCATTGATAAATTTTAACCAAACTAACTACAGACTTTTCATTAAGACCCTAAAGAATCATATCAACTTGTGGAAAATTGGCATCCTTTAAAGGGTTTAAAGGTCCCCTGAAATACTTAGAAACACGCAGCATTACTCTGTGTTGACGTCATTTTAGCTGAACAGGAAGACAGGGCGGGACATATCAAGCAGCCCCACCCCTTTTTAAAATAGCCAATAGCGTTCGTTTATATCACAGCTTGGCCTAGAGCCGTTCAGAGCCGTTGAGCTCCGTAAAGCCGCATTTGACGGTATGCCAGCCACAATCTCATACATATTGCTATAAAATATAGCATTCTGTGTAGAATTCAAATAGCTCCGATACATTTTGTGGTCTGCACCGACTCGCGCATGTGATCCGCTCCGTGCTATCGTGTCTCTGGACCGGA